AGTTTTAAGGAATCTGAAACCCTTTTCTGGCCTCTGCAGGCCCTGCATGCACAGGTGCATTTACATATATGCAGGCAAAACACTCATATAAAAGAAAAATAAAAGGAAAAAGAAGCAATTGTGTTGAAGTATATCTGTATAGCATACTATAATATATATTATGTATATAATATGACATTTAATATATATAAAATGTATTTGTATCAGCAGATACATATTTGCTTATACAAAATCTTGCATTTTGTGAAATATTAAATTTTGAGATCCTATCTAATATTCTGAAAGCATAATAATTGATCATCATGTTAGAATACAGGATATGTATTTCTACCTTTTCCCTAATGTTGATCATTTAGGTTGTCTTTGACTCATTATAATGAATGCTGTGGTCTGTATTTATTGAACAGTCAGTCTACACACACAGACACACAGACACACACACATATCTCCTCAGCATAATAGAAACACGTTTTTTTGTTTGTTTGTTTGTTTGTTTTGTTTTCTCTTTTTGAGACGGGGTCCCCAGCTGGCCTGGAACTCACAGAGATTTGCCTGCCTCTGCCTCCAGAGTACTGGGAATAAAAGCATGTGCCACCATGCCCAGCTTAGAAACACATTTCTAAAATCAAGAACTTTATTGAAGCTTTCATTGAGACTAATGTGAACATCTGAATGAGTGCTAAAGGCTCAAAGTCTCAACTCAGCACCCGCAGCGCTCAGCTGCCCTTCCCAGTCTCCATCTCATCTTTACCTGAGCCCCACTTTGGTTCTTTTCTTTCTTCTTCTTCTTCTTTGATTGATTGGTTTACTTTTATGAGGCTTAACATTCCCCCCTCTAAAGAGGTAACCCTAAAATCTTTTAAGGATTAGATACAAGCTCCCAAATACTTTTGACATTTTTGGCCTTTGGACCAGAGTATGTTGCTAACAAGCCCAAGGAACTTTTCACTTTTAGCCAAGAAACTGGCTACATTTCTTTGGGGTCTTTTTACCCTAACTGCCTACCCAATTCTTACCTCTTATTCTTATCATGCCATCCTCTGAAGGGGTTGTTACCCAAATTGCCAATAGGGAATAGGGACGCAGACTACTCTGGCTTCTTCCATGCTGAGCAGGGATGCAGGGTGAGGTTGGAGTACCCCTTCAGTGGGTCTATCTGAAAAAACTCCCAAATTTCGTAACTCTTATTTCTAGGGGGAAAAGAGAGTCCTTGAATCATGAATAGGAGATGTGAAGGAGAAGTAAAGGCAAGAGTAATTAGCATTACAAGATCTAGAGAGGGAACTAGAAAAAAATCAGAACAAGGACAGATTTCAAATGTTCATATGAGAGTCCATTGGACTTTCTTGACAAGGACTTCTAAAAGCATCCCTCTAATGCATTCTCCTCATTTTTCTATTGTCTTCCAAGGCTAGACTAGTTGGCTGGAAAGAATTGTTGGATACTCAAGTAAGGGTTCACTGACCCTGCTTGGCACTCCTTTAATGAATGAGCACAACGGTCAACAAGCCCAATTGTGACTATGTTTAGCAATCAGG